GAGAAGTATAGGAAAAGTAAGTGATGATCTTATTGATAACATGAAGGTCACTAACCATTATCTTTTAACGAGCGGATGTGCGTGTGTTTAGGCTTAGAAAAAGTTTATCAAATTGGATATAGCAGATTTGTTCTTATCCGTACTGAAATGAACTGGTTAAAAAAAAGAAAAATTAGTTTGATTTCGACTGTTCGTTTCACTGAAAAGAAAACATTGTGCCGTTTGCTTTTTTAGTTTCTTGCGGATTTCTTTTTATCCTACATTGAGATCGCGAACATATTTCTTTTATTGATTGACTATATCGCACATCTGATTTCCTTTTCATTTCTTGAATATAGATGAACTGTTCAATTCCATGTCGATTGATAGTGATCTACGTATATATCCATTCTCGTCTATAAATATGTTTTATTTGAAGCGCAAGAAATGATCGCATCTTTTCTTCAGTCATCGCCTTTTTTTTGTTTCTGTATTTCTATGGGATATGTTGTGTACAAAGAGATGAAGATCGTTGGCGGCAACGATGATTTATTTGCCTTGAAAGTTCATCTATCTGAGGTGTTTACTATGGCGACTTTTATGTATCTACTCAAGAAGAGTTTATTTGTCCATCGTATTTAGAGATGAAGGAAAGAAAAATAATAAAAACGAAGAAAAGATGTGTGAAAACATTTCTTTTTTCAGCTCTTTAATTTTATTGATCATTGAAACATTCCGTTTTTCCTCTCTCATCGTCTTCTCCTTAGGCTTGTGCTTATTTATTTATGAGGCATATTCATTTGAGACATTGACACGTAATTCCCCTTTGACGTTTTCCTTGTGTCGTCTTTTCCTTCTTTTTTTTTCTTCGCATATGTGTCGTATACGTCTTGAAATGATCCAAATGATGATGATGATGTGCTTCTGTTGTGACGATAAAGATGAAGCTTCTATTTTTGTTCACCTTTGCATGTTCGAGACCAGAATGAGACGAGTAAGAAACAGAGTAGAAGCGGAAATGCTAAAACAAATTGTACGAAAGAAAGAGAAGGAGAAGCTGGCTGACAGATGAACAGTCTTTGAAGAGAAAAAACGAGAGAAAGAGAGAAAAAAATGAGAGAATGAATGTATAGCTAAGAAAAATGATGATGACTTGTTGAATTCTTTCTCTCTCTCTCTCCCTGTTCCCTTCTTTCGTTTGCTCTTGCTTTTCTCTTTCTGTCTTCCTTGTGTTTTATGTTTGAACAATGTTCAGAGTAGCCACCTTCCCTCTATCGGCTTGTCTTCAATCCTCTTTTTACTTAAACACGTTTCCATCCTGATTGTGAGCATCATCATCATTGTCTACTACTCTTATTCCTATAATTACACACGAAAAGATGCCTCGACCATCAACAATAACACCGCTGATCTTCTTTTACACGCTGTCTGTGTCGTTTGCTTCCCTGTAAATACATACTCGGATTGAATGAATGAACGAACAGCTGACGGTAGGCGGTCAATATTCGCTCAACCTGATCTCATTAAAGCGACGGCTAGAATTGGTATTGTTATTGTTCTTACTGTTTGGACGCTCATTTGGATGAACAATTGATGCGTCGAAGTGCATTAATGAAGAATTCTCTTCTTCTTCTTTTTTATTTCTTCTTCTTTTTCATGCATTACATCATACGGTTTCATTAATTGTAGATGTCTTTGTTTTTGTTTGATTTCTTTATAATGTAATATGCACAATGAAATTGATCGATATATTCGTCTTATTCTTCTACTTCTACACAATCGGTATGTAAAAGACTTTTCACTGATGATTTATTCAATTAAAACTCGCACTTGATTCTCTTCTAGATGGTTTACCGCAAGTACGTGTGCGACCTCAAACAGCGGTTATTCCATCATCATCTGAAGCACATTTAATATGTGAAAGTAACGATACACCGTTTCTTTCGGTTGCCTATTGGACTCATGTGGGCCAACGTATTGAATTGAATCCATCGATAATTGAAATGCATGACAATGAATTACGTATATTTCAATTCGGCGATACTGCTTATACACAGCCAGGCGCTTACGCTTGTGTTGTTTCAACCGAATACGGCTTACTTGAAAGTGAACCATCCATGTTAAGTTTACCAAGTAAGTCTTTTATGTTTAGTCATTGTCTTAATCTAACTAGCCGACAACTTGTCGCATCACTGTCAAGATACAGGCATGTACATACGTATAGACACACATGTCTAACTAAGACTTGTCACAATAGCTCATTAAAAGATATGAAGGTGATGTCTCCTTTTTCGTTTGCCGCCTTTCTTAATTGTCCCAATCGAAGAATAATCTTCGTAGTATCCAGACAAATGGTACCCAACTGAATAGTCTATTGGCGTTTTCTTTTTTCTTATCGTCTTTTGATATAATTTTAAACGCTTCATTAAATGTTCGGAAAGAAGGTGTGAAACTTTTTTCTCTCATTATTGTTTCATTACGATTTTTACACAGAAATAATGATGATCAATAACATTACTAGCATTGTTATTCATCATCTATTCAAGCGAACTTAAAGGTCCATCATTTTATTTTTCGTTCAGGAGAGTATCGCGGCTACTACAGTTAATTTGATTCCATTGCCTCTGTCTTTATATTTATATATACATCGTTGTTCAATTGTCTGCGCTCCATGCAAACGATGAAACAAAAGAGACGGGGGCCGGTGACCTGGCCAGTAGGAATAGTAAATTTCTAGTTCGATTATTAATATCAAATAGCCCGAATGTATGTTAGACGCTTTGATGCTGTCAAGTGTATAATCGGAGACGATTCGATGTGATCGAAGAATTCTCTATTTACTTATTTCGAGTCTAAAACACACACACGCACACATGAGACATTGAAACTGATTGAATCACATTGAAAAGAAGTCGCCTTGAGACGATAGCGCTTTGCTTTTCGAGTAACTTGTCGAGATAATGAAGAACATGAGCAATCGTCTAAATAGACTCTTATTCTGTTTGAGTAAAAGTGAATAAATTCAATAAGAAATACTCGTATGATGTATGAATATGTAAACAGCTCAACGTTGAGAATATATGCACATGTCTTTTCTTCTACTTTTTCCTTGCAATTAGAGAACATCCCTCGTTTGTTGATTTGTATTGCACATTCTTATGCAACTTATTGTTCGGACATCGGAAGTTCATTCTTGACTTGTATCGCATACACAATAGATCATCATCACGAGCTTTGCTCACAAATAATATATGTTAAACAGATAGGTTATGTATCAACAATCTAGCAAAATGTCACCCTTTCTCTTTACATATAGCTTGCTTAAGGGATGACTATGACCAGAAGAAGAAATCGGATTTCCCATGAGTAGATATTCTGTCATCATTGTTTTGGTTTGATGAAATCATAGCTCGGATGAAAAAA